AGGTTTGGGAATCAAAGTGATATTTGCTTCCAAGAATGAATTTGGAAGTATTGCTTGTCTTTCAATTTCATTGAAAAGTCTGAAGAGTAATTGCAGTAGATTTTCTCTAAATGTCTTGTAAAATTCAGCAGTGAATCCATCAGGACCTGGGCTTTTCTTTGTTGGTTAGTTTTTAATTACATTTTCAACTTCACTGATTGTGATTGGGGTGTTTAAAATGTTTTTATCTTCTTCGTTCAACTTTGGTAATTCATAAGTATCTAGAAATCTGTCAATTTCTTCTGTGTTTTCTGTTTTATTATAGTACAGGTTCTCATAGTATGTATTAATGATCCTCTGGATTTCTGTGGGATCTGTTGTGACTTCACCTTTTTCATTTCTGATTGCATGAATCTGAATCTTTTCTTTCCTTTTTTGATAAGGTTTGCTAAGGGTTTATCAATTTTATTTATTCTTTCAAAAAAACCAACTCTTTGATTCATTTATTTTTTGTATCATTTTCTTAGTTTCCATTGCATTGATTTCTGCTCTAATCTTTATAATTTCCTCTCTTGTTTGAGCTTTGGGTTTTTCTAGGAGTCTAAGTTTCTTCATTAGGTTGTTTATTTGAACTTGCTCTGTTTTCCTAATGTGAGCATTCAGCGCTATGAACTTTCCACGTAGAACTGCTTTCATTGTGTCCCATAGATTCCTGTATGTTGTATTGGCATTTTTGTTTATTTGTAAAAACTGTCTGATTTCTTCTTTAATTTCCTCTGTGATCAATTGATTGTTCAGGAGAGTGTTGTTCAATTTCCATGTGTTTGTGAAGTTCCTATGGTTCTTATGCTATTGATCTCCAGCTTTATTGCACTGTGATCTGATAATATACAGGGAATAACTTCAATTCTTTTGCATTTATTCAAACCTGTTTTGTGAGCTACTATGTGATCTATCTTGGAGAATTACCCATGTGTAGCTGAAAAGAATGTATATTCTGATTTTGTGGGGTGGAATACTCTATAGACGTCTAGTAAGTTCATGAATTCAAAACCTTGGTTCAGTTCTAGTATTTCATTGTTGATTTTTTGCCTAGATGATCTGTCTATTTGTGATAGTGGGGTATTCAGATCCCCCATTACAATTGTATTAGTGGTTATTTGGTTTTTCATGTTACTTAATATTTGTTTTATGTAGTTGGGGGCATTTATATTTGGTGCATATATGTTTACAATTGTCATTTCTGTCTCTTGGATTGTTCCCTTTACAAGGATGTAGTGACCTTCTTTGTCTCTCTTAATCAGTTTTGGTTTGAAGTTTGCTTTGTCTGTGAATAAGATTGCTACCCCTGCTTTTTTCTGGGCTCCTGTTGGGTGGAGAATTGTTTTCCATCCTTTCACTTTCAGTCTATGGTCTTCTTTTTGCACTAGGTGTGTTTCTTGTATACAGCATATTGTTGGATTTTGCTTCTTAATCCATTCTGCCGATCTATTTCCCTTTATTGGTAAATTGAGGCCATTGCCATTGATAGTTATAACTGATATGTACTGACTTATTTTTGTCATGTTATTGTTCTTTTGTTGACTCTTTTTAAATTTTTTTCCCTTCCTTTTAGTTTCTTGCCCTGGCTATTTGATTTGCTCTGTTGGGCCTCATGGTGTTGTGACCTTCATTGTCTTTCTCTAGGATATTGTTTAGAATTCCTTGTAGTTCTGATTTCATATTCATGAAGTTTCTCAAGTGTTCTTTGTCATGAAAGTATTTTATTTCTCCATCCATTTTGAAAGAGAGTTTTGCAGGATACTTGGTTGTAGGTTTTTTTTCTTTTAGGACTTGAAATACCTCACTCCAGGCTCTCCTTGACCTGAGGTTTTGTGTTGAAAAGTCTGCTGTAATTCTGATGGGCTTTCCTTCGTATGTGATTTGTTTCTTTTCTCTTACTGCTTGTAGTATTTTGTTCTTCTGTTGGGTTTCCAGGATCTTGATTATTATATGTCTAGGTGTAGATTTTTTTTTTTATCATGGCTAGTTGGTGTCCTATATGCCTCGCTTATCTGTATGTCTAATTATTCCCCTCTGTTTGGGAAGTTTTCTGTCATTAATTCTATGAACAGCTTTTTTAAGTCATTTGCATTTTCTCCTGCTACTTCATGGATTCCTATCAGTATTATGTTATTCTTCTTTGCATCATCTAGGAGTTGTTGGATTGACTTCTCATGCTCCCTTACTGTTTTTAAGAGACCTCTCTTTTCATGGTCACTGTCTGCTATCCTATCTTCTATATCTGAGATTCTATCTTCGCACTCTTTTATTCTGTTGCATTCACTTTTAATACAGTTTTTAATCTCCTGTATATCTGTTTAAATCTGTTTAATGGATTCCATTTCTTTCCTGTGTTGGACATTCATTGTTTCAATTTCTTTCTTAAGCTGGGCCTTCATGGCTTCTATTATGTTTCTAATCTCATTCTTTTTTTTGTCAGTTTCTGTTCTGGAGTCTCGAATCATGTCTTTCACTTTGCTCACCATCTCTATGGTTATCTAGGAAATTATCTCTGTTTTAAATTTTTCTAGAGCTTGATTGATCAGTTCTTTTACTTCCTGTGCTGTGAATTCTGAGTGTCCTGGAGGTTCGCTATCTGATTTTTCATCCTTCTTTGCCCTACTGTTTGCCATTGGTGGACTGGAAGTCTGTCTTTGTGGCTTGCTTTAGTGTTTTCTCATCTTTATTTTTGCTGTTGGGTTGCCCTTAATTCTATCTCTGGGTCATTAAATCTTCCTGATATTGTTGAGTCCCAGTCTTTGATTCTCTAATGACTTATAGATATTCTCATTTAAGCCCAGATTTTTGAAGAAGTATGTTGGTCTGGTCATCTTGTCCCCTTCTTGAGGTTTGGCTTTCAGCCAGCGTGCAGCTGTTGTGTGTTTCACCTTTGTCCTAGCCCTCTTGAGGACTTAGCCCTATCTGACTGCCTGTAATAGTTTTACCTATCTCATCTGTCTATAATATCTTGACTTATCCAATTTTGTGTATAGGTGACCCTGTCTTTCTTGGGTCATGCATAGGCCCTGTTGAGGACCACATAGCTCAACGGCAATGACCAGCTTGAAATCTGTGAGGACACAGAAGTTCTGCCACCAAAGCAGGCAGAATTCACAAAGAGGGTGTGGAGAAAGAAGCTTCCAGAGCTGCTGAAGCTCCCTTCTGCCCTTTGAAGGCCTGGGTGTGGCCCCTACGTGGACACCAGAGAGTACAGTGCTGGGTGGTAGCAGGTACAGCCAAGTGCATGACATCACTGTCTGCAATGTCTGTGTGGAGGGAGACATTCATGGGGGTACAGTCAAGTAGCCACCCCACAGGAGGGGTGTGTGTGTGTAAAGTGTCAGCATGTGGAAGATGGCAGAGCAGCAAGGAGATATCTAACTGCGGTAAATATAGCTGGGTATCAGATTCAGCAAACAGATCTTGTCAGGGACTATATGGGATCTGAGAAAGCTGAGAAAAAAGATTCATGACATTGAAACAGGTGTGTAACAACGGAGTGATCTGCAATGTGGTATGTGAGGGCCAAGGAGCTCCTAACAAATACAGTGGCCCCTGTGCATGTGGCAGGCTCCAATTCCACCCTCCTCAGCTGGGCTCAAAATATGAGCCTGTGGCCCAAGGATCCCTGGTAATGCTACATGGTTCTCGGCTTTCTGTGTCCCTACACAGGTGTCCCAGACTTAGGGAAATCTTCATTGACAGTCAGCAGCAGTGGTTTCATGGTCAACCACTCCTGATCCATAGTAACAACACCCCTGATTATACCCCTGGGGCTACTCAAAGAGGGGAATACTGAAGGTCCCAGGCAAGTCCCTGAGAAGGAAGACCCTGGCATAAGCAAGGGCCAGGATTTCTTCTTAATGTGAATGAGCCGCTGCCCCCAGGCAAGGTTTGGCTTCATCAGTCAAGCTTTCTCAGTTATTTCTGACTTCTATTTTTTCAAAAACATAAGCATGCCTTGCTCTGTTCTTCCCAAACTTCTGGCATTCTGCTTGATAAGCAAAAGAAACTGAAAAAGGACACCACATATAGTAAGTCTCCAATTTATAAACATTTGAGTTGCCAACTTTCAGACACAAACAGACCTCACACTACAAACACTCACAGATGTGAGCAAATTACATAAGTAGCATGTGTCTGAATTGTCACAGCTGTGCTGCTGTGTGCTCACTGTACAGTGTGACAGTGCACAGTGTTACAATGTTCAGTCAGAGCCCAGCATGTCTGGAAGCAAGGAGAAAAGCAATGGTGTGGAAGGAACTGCTAGGAAGTGCAAAGTAATGTACATTGTATATTTGTGTCAAAGGTGTGTAAGACTCTGTCTGACTTACAAACTGATCCAGCTTACTGACATTCTCCAGGAATGGAACTTGCTCCTGAGTCAGGGATTTACTGCATTCAGACATTTACAAAGGGAGCATTTGGTTTCTCCTGAGGAACTCCCATGGCTGCTTTTCTCCCCAAAACCAAAAGGACAGATGATCTTCATTGCCAAGGAGCCCAACACACACACACACACAATCACATTCACGCTGATGTGCACACTCAACCCAGAGGTGGAAGGCAGTGGAAGGCACATGACTTGGCTGAGCTACCTTGGTTGCACATCCTTGGTACAGATCAGAGTGAAAGGTTAGATCTCTTCCAGGTTGGCACCAAATTGACACCACTGAGCCACTGAACAATCCACACACCTGCACAGCACAAACCCTACCCATGCCTCTGTGTACCTGGCCCCTCACAGCTAGGGGCTGCTGTGGAGGTAACCCCAGTCCTAGGATCACTCTCCTTTCATCTTCATAATCATGTAACGTTCCTGTCCCATTTGGCAGCAAGAAAAACTTAGGCCCAGAGACTCAGTGAGTTGTCCAAGATGTATCAGCTCCATGACCTCAGCAAATGGCATAGTAAAGCAGAAACTCCCAAAAGTCAAAAATTAAAAAACAAACATTTATTTTTAAAACATGACTGTCCCAGCTGAGCATTGTCCTAAAAACCCTAACATCGTACTGGGCTCTGCTGGCACACAGGAAGATCTACCATCCTGCAAGACTGAAACCCAAGTAAGGATTTGAGCAGGGAAGACTTTTTCCCCTTTGGCCAGGTCTGTTCTTGCCAGGATAAGCAAAGTGGGGAGGCTACAGTGGCTCCTCAGACACAATGAACCAAACATCACCAATCTGCTTAGTTCCCCATGGACAGGTTCAGGGTCACACTTGGCTCTCAAAACGTTGGCCACTCACAGCCCCCCAAATGGTTTACGAAGTTTCATCCATTCAGAAGAGCTAAGGGATGCATACCACCTGCAGCAAGTAGAAGAAACAAGCAGAAGCAGGCCTGGACACCTAAGAGGGTCTGTACCCAAACCCAGTGAGGTATGACTCATGCCCAGGTGGGCTACCATCTGCATGTTTCTGCAGGGGTCATTGGGCGACTGAGTCTTGGGCAGGACCACCAGTAAACCCTCAGGTCCTGTCTGAAAGGCCCACTCTCCGATTTCACTGCAGATCTCCAATCCTCTGGGGGAATGCAGTGCCACTAACGCAGCCGCAGGTAGGACGGGGCTGAGTAATTGAAGAGCAAGAAGTCCATCTTGTAGAGGTCGAAGAGGCGCCGCTGGTAGAAGGGGCTAATGCTCTGAAAAAGGCGGGCGGCTTGGTCGCCAGCGGCAGCCCCTCTGGGGCTTGGCGGCCCCGGAAAACGCAGGCCTGGCTCTCCCACCAAGTCTAGGACAAAGGCAGCGTCCTCGGCCAGCGTTTCAAACTTTCCCACGACGTCGTAGTGCAGGCGGCACGGATGGCAGAGCGCGTGAGCTCGCTCCCAGTGCTCGTTAAAGGGCTCGTCGCGCCGAGTGCGGGGATCCAGCAGGTAGCCCAGGAACTCTGCAAAGCGCACGTCGTGGCCGCGAGCCAGGGCATCGGGGTGTGCGCGGGGGCGCAGGCGCCGCACTATGCGTGTGCCATAGCGCCGCTGGAAGGCCTCGCTGTAGGGTCTCCCGAACTTGTTTCGGTAGGCAGACGCCAGGCGCTCAAAAGGCTCGCGCACAAACAGAAAGGCCAGGTAGGTGCGCAGCCGCTGGTTGATTTGCGCCGGGGTGAAGTCAGCCAGCGAAGGCAGACTGTCCGGCGCGTGTGCCTGGTGCGAGGGAATGGCGTGGGGGTCGCCACGGGCGCGGCCGCTCAGCACTAGAAGCACTCGCTTCCAGTTGGTGCAGGCCACCTTGGGCACGTAGCAGTAGAGCAGGCCGTGCACATCGTCCACAAGCACGTGCCGCAGGTCCTCGGGCCGCAGCAGATGCTGTCGACGTGTGAGGCGGCTGCAGGTCTGGCGCAGGAGGTCTCGCCGCTGCCGGTGCACCTCTGCCAGGGCCGAGCGCTGACTCTGCAGGCAACAGGGAAGACACAGAGGTTCCCCTCAGAGCTGCTGTCCCCGCGCTTAGCTGGCCACAGCTCTGCTCCTGTGCCCAGGTGACACCCCGGGGACTGGCAGGAGCTGGTCTGGGCATCTGGATTTGAACCCCAGACCTGCCAGCAGGCACTGAGGTTTAGGCCCCAAGCATCTCTCCTATACTTGCATTTGGAAGAAATAGAATCTAAGCTTGCAGAAGGTGAAGGACGTGACTAATCGGGTGTGCTAGATGAGTCACAGGGCACCAGGAGGAATATAATATTGAATTTTGACAATGTCAGTGTAAGTCCAGATAGAGAGTGACATCGGCGTGTTCCATCTACGAAAAGTAGGACTCGGTGTAAGAATGGTAACTAATTCCTTGTAAAGGGGGAAACTGCCTTTGTGTAATCCAAGCATTCTGGGAGGCTGAGAAAAGAGGACCACAAATTCCAACCCAGACTAGGCAACTCACTGCCTCAAAATAAAAATCCAAAAAGGACTGGGTATATAGCTCAGAGCAAAGATCATGGGTTCAATCCCCAGTATTTAAAAAAAAGTTTTAATTTCTTAACATTGTGTTGAAAAGACTTCAGGATAGAACAAAAAGGACAGTGGCAAATACTGGTCAGGACATGGAGAAAGTACAACCTTCATATATTGCTGGTGGGACTGAAACATGGTACAGCTGCTAAGAGCAGTTTGGTAGCTTCCCCAAAAAAGTAAACATATGACCCAGCAGGCCTGTTCCCAGGTAAGCACCCAAGAGAAATAAAATCATATGTCACATAAGTATTTGTATTAATGTTCATAGCACTGTTCCCATTAGTCAAAAAGTGGAAACAACCTGCATGTCCACCAACTGATGAACAGATGGATAATATAGGGTATAGCCCCACAGTGGAATGTTCATAGAAAGGAACAGGTATGTCTTTCAACATAGATGAACTTCCAAAGCAATATTCTGTGTGATAGAAAGCCAGACACAAATGGCCAAATGCTAAATGGCTGCTCTTATAAGAAATGACCAGAATAGGTGAAACTATAGAGACAGAAAGTAATGAATGGTTGTCAAGAACTGAGGGAAAGAGAAAAGGGGACGATTCCTAATAGGTAAGGGGTATCTCCTGGCTGATGCAAATTTTCTAGAATTAGATAATGGTGATGGGTGCACAACCTTGTAAAAATACAAAGAAACCACTGACTTGGGCATTTTCTAAGAGTGAATTTTATGGAGAGTTCTTACTCAGTTAAGAACAAAGTTTTTTAGAGTATTTCCACTTCAGACAATGCCAGAGCAGAGGCTCAAGTGGTGGAGCCCCAGACCTTGTGCCTGCATGAGAACATCTGCCTTCAGTGGGGTGGGAAGTGGGTCGTGTATGCTCCCATCTGAATGTATATCCCTGTTTCTGATGCTTGTAAAAATAGCTGAAAGTATCCACAATACAGTAAGATGGGAAAACACCTAAAGTGCAGAACTGGGCTTAATATTGAGATTTTAAAGGGGCACTAAAGAAAATAGAAACTGTTTCAGCAAGGCTAAGCTTTTGCATAGTGTCGACTGCCCCATCGCATCTATTGCATTACTTTGTCACAGTCTCACCTTGGGACAGTCTCACCAAGGCCAACTTTGGCCTTGGCCATGAAGGACACGAGCCACTCCCAGTTAGCCCTGTGTTCGTGAGAGAAAACAACCATCCTCTACAGAATGTTGTGTGGCTAAGCTAGGACATGCAGGAGATTAGATGTATCCAATGCACTTTAGACTTAACAAAGTTTTCAACTTAGGATGTTTCTCAGAACATATCCCCTTAATAAATCAAGGCACATCTGTACAGGTGTGTGTGTGTGTGTGTGTGTGTGTGTGTGTGTGTGTGTGTTGGAGAATGATGTAGTCCCAGCAGGACTTATGTGCACAACCCAGTGGGATACCTGTTCCATCTGCTTGTGAATAACATAAAAACGTGGGAACTCTGTGCACATTTTTTTGTTGCAGCATATAGGAAAATTTGAAGATTAGCTTAATTACTGCCTCCCTATTGATCTATGGACTCCCTGGAGCAGGCACAGGTCTATTTTAATTTTTTTTTCTTAGCACTGGGGATTAAATCTAAGCTACATCCCTAGCCCTTTTCACTTTTTATTTTTCAGACCATGTCTTTCTAAATCACTAAATTGCCCATGCTGGGCTTGAACGTGTGATCTCCTACCTCAGTCTCCCAGAGTGCTAGGGTTACAGGTGTGCACCACCACACCTAGCTATTTACCCTTATTTATGTCTAAAACATGCAGAAGAGTTCTGCCACAGAGTATGGCCTTAGGCTCTTATGGGAGGAATGATGAAGTGAGTTGAGACTCTAGGTGCCCAATTTACCCCCAGGATGTGTCTTTGTCACTCTCTGGATGGTGAAGCTCCTGCATGCCCCACTGTGGAATTCAGCCATGTGACAACAATTGCAATTTGGGGCTCTGGATTCCCTAGCCAGGGAGGCATCCCTCAGGTAAGTCTGTGCACCTACCTGGTCCAGGTCATAGAGCAGCTGTAGGGGACTCCGTCTCTCCCCACCAAGCCAGAGGGAGCCCAGGGACTTGTTTTCAAATGCTGTGGGGCACAAGAAAAGAAGTATCATCATTGCATCAGGTGAGCTGGCTCCGAACCAACAGGTTTTGGCCATCCCACTTAGTGTACATCTGACCCACCTCTGAAATTCAGTTTCTCTCTGTGTCTCTGTCTCCTGGGTGTTTGGTGCAGCAAAGGCATTGGTAGGGCTGCTAATCTATCAGGGCAATGCTCTTGGAGCCCTCTTTGCTCCCATGTTCTGCCCTCTAAAGCTGGAGGGTATTAGGCAAGAGAGGACAAGAGCGTAGGAGATACCCAGCCAGCCAACTCTTTGAGAAAGGCCTGATCCCCAACCTCACCCTCTTCCATCCCCTCATCTCACGCCCACCCCTGCCACTTCCACATCTGTAAAGCCCCGAGGGGCTTGCTCATCTGGCTGGCTTTTCAGTGCTCCAGGTCCTGGGTGTAGTCAGCCAGAAAGGGATAAGTAGTGGTGAAGCTGGCATAGGCAGGCTGTGGTTCTCAGAGTGATAGCTCACTGAGTTCTGCCACACCATTGTGGGTTCCTGGGAACCCTGTATCTCCCCTGTTGGTGCATGTGCTCCCTCATGCCAAATGCAGTTTTACCACCAGGACTGAAGCCCCTGTAAGCAAGGATATTATCTGTCTGTCTCACTGCTGCATGCCTCAGTTTCCCTGAAACTATAGAAGAACTCATCTACTTAAAAAATTATGTTTGCTCAAAACTTGTCTTAAAAGTAATTTTAAACTTATTAAATTAATATTAATATCAGACAGTCCTTGACACACAACAATGCAACTTTCTACTTTTCAACTGTACAATGGTGTGAAAGCTATGTCATAGAAGTCACACTTTGAATTTTGAATGTGAACCTTTCCCTGGCTGGCGGTACGCAAATGCTCCTCTTGAGAGTGCTGCTGAGTAGTGGCAGGAGCCGCAGCCCTGTGATCCCAAGAGGAAACAGACAGCTTCCCTGTGGCTGCTCCTGCGAGCTGTGCTGATTGGTAAGAGGTGTGCTAAGTGCATTTCTGAGTTTAAATATTTTCAACTTACTATAGCTTTATCAGGATGTAACCCCATCATCAGTTGAGGAGCATCTGTTTTCTTGATAACATAGTTAGTGTATATTGGTCATAAGCTTCTTGATCATATTTTTCATTAAAATGTTTAGATTTTTAACAAATGAAATATAATGCAGTCTTTGATAAGGTCACCAAAACTGGCAAATTTTAGCTAGATTGACCAAAAAGAAAAGGCTAAAGTAACTAAGAATTGTGGAGGAGGGAAATTAAACTGACCTTAAAGAAACAATAAAGGATTACAAGACAATACTATGAATAATTGTAAGCCAACAAATTAGATAGCCTCCATGAAATGGAAAAAATTCCTAGGAAGATACAAATTCTCCAGAATGACTAAGGACCTGAAAAAAGTAAAGAAACTGAGTTAGTGATCAAAAAAATTTTCACAAAGAATAGCTCACGGTCAGATGTCTTCATTGGTGAATTATACCAAATATTTAAAGAATTAATACTGATCCTTCACAAACCCTTTGAAGATGAAAACACTTCCCATTTCATAAGGTCAGTGTTACTCTGATACCAAAACCAGACAAAGACATCACAGAAAGAGAAGATTAAAGACCAATATCTTAAATATATGCATAGACTCCTCAATTAAATACCAGCAAACCAAATCCAACATCATATAAAAAGGATTATAAAAGTATACTGTGGCCAAGTAGGATTTAACGTAGGAATGCAATATTGGCTGAATATATAAAAAATCAATCAGTATAATACATCACATTAATACAATAAAGAAAAGACCTACAGGATCACTAACAGATACAGAAAAAGCACTGGACAAACTCCAGTGTCCTTTTTGATAAAAACACAATACAGGTTAAGAGTAGAAGAGAATAGCATCAAAATGACAAGTACCTGTATAAAACCCAAAGCTATGGGGTTTTCTTGCTCTTGTTTTTCTAGGAGTCTAAGTTTCATCGTTAAGTTGTTTATTTGAGCCCACTCTGTTTTCCTAGTGTGGGCATTCAATGTTATGAATTTTCCACGTAGAACTGCTTTCATTGTGTCCCAAAGATTCCTGTATGTTGTATTGGCATTCTCATTTATTTGTAAAAACTGTCTAATTTCTTCTTTAATTTCCTCTGTAATCCATTGATTGTTTAGGAGAGTGTTGTTCAGTTTCCATGTGCTTGTGAAGTTTCTATAGTTTCTTGTGCTATTGATGTCTAGTTTGATTGCACTATGATCTGATAATAAACAGGGGATGACTTCAATTTTTTTGCATTTATTTAGACCTGTTTTGTGAGCCAGTATGTGGTCTATTTTGGAGAATGATCCATGTGCAGC